TTCATAAAAATTGTTTATAGTTAATTTCTCTCCTTCTATATGAAAAATGTTTTGGAAATCTTTACAAATATTCAATATTGAATTTTTGGCTATGTTATCTAAACCATCTATTTTTAATTTCGATTTAATTTTTTCAAATGTATATGAATTTCGATTAGAATTATATGAAAGTATGTTATAATTATTTAAAGGTTTTATTTCTATTGTTGCATATTCTAATTCTACAGGTGTGTCTCTAGTATTTAATAACCTAATATGTTGTATACCTTTGGCAGGTATTAATGAATTAGCTATGAATACTCCTTTCACTATTTCTTTTCCACAGACTAAACTGTCTTCTTTTGTATTTAGTTCAACTACTTGAATTACTTCTACCCTGGGCGGTATTTTGATGTTTTTAATGGTTTTTATTTTTATATTCAAGGGTAAGACTATCTCATCTTCTGAGTTTGAGATCACTAATACGCATGTTTCATAATTTATTTTACAATTATATTTTATCAAAAAATCTCTACCTAATATACCATCTGTAGGTAAATTTATATTGTTTTTTATGACATTGAATTTGTGAGGTATTGTTTTACCATCAAAAAATAAATTTATATCTATTAAACCTTCTGTGGTTGTTTTTCCTGTTGTTATGCCATTTATTTGGCAGTTTTTTGTGTTATCAAAATTGCTCTTTCCTATTATACCTTTTTTTATTACTGATATCTCTGCCCCTGTGTCTACTAATAAAGTTATATACTTATTGCTACAAGAAGTTTTAACATTAATACTATTATCAATGTTTTCTATCGTTTTAAAATGTATTATTTGTTTTTGTTCTGGTTGTAATTGTTTCGATTGTTGTAACCATTGTTTTGGTTGTGACCTAGGTTGTGATTTGGATACTGCTTTAGGTTGTGCCCCGGGGTTCGTGAACCGGGGGTGTTCCAGTTTTTTTGATTATTGGAATTGTTGTATTGGTTTGATGCATTCCTATTGAAATTTCCATTCGCATTTCTGTTATTATTCGAGAATCCGTTCCTTTGTTGAAAATTCCTGTTTGGTTGCTGTTGTATCATGCTTCTATTTTGTGTTTCTACACTTAGAGCAATTTGTACAGCTTCGTTTAGAGTAGTTGGCCTTGCTGCTGCTACTATATTTCTAAGTCTCTCATTGAGTCCATTGGTGAATGCATTTAATCCTGTGAGATCTGTCATTTTCATTATTACTTGTTTATTTTGGTCACCCTGAGTAGCTATATATATTTGGTTTAAAATTGCTATTTGTTCCTCAATTTTAGAAACAAAATGTGCAACAGTTTGGGTACCTTGTCGCAAACGTACTAAATTATTCTGGACTGTTAA